GTTGAGAGCACTGGCTGCTCTTGCAGAGGAACAAGGTTCAATTCCCAGCACCTGTAACCACATGGTGGCTCACAACCACCTGTAACTCCAGTTCCAGGGGATCTGGTGCCCTTTTCTGAACTTCACAAGCAGTAGACATACATGTGGCAAACAGATATACATGCAGACAAGACATTCATACACACATAAAATAAATAAAAATATATTTTTAGAAAATCACCTAAAGTCATGAGGTGGTTTTTTTTGAGACTGCATGTAAAGAAATAACTTTATTGAGAGCATGTTAAAATAATATTTGAGAGATATTAGGTTAAATGGAATATAGTATTAATTTTTGTTAAAATAAGGCTAGGGAGTATTGCTCACTGGTAGAGTACTTGCTTAGTACGTGCAAGGCTTTTAGTTCTACCTCAGACATTAAGAACAAGAAGCCAGGTGGTGGTGGCGGTGGCATATACCTTTAATCCCAGCACTCTGGAGGCAGAAGCAGGCGGATCTCTGTGAGTTTGAGGCCAGCCTGGTCTTCAAAGAGAGTTCCAAGACAGTCTCCAAAACCTACAGAGAAAACCCGTCTTTAAAAAAAAAAAAAGGAAGAAAGAAAAGAAAGAAAGAAAGAGAGAAAGAAAGAGAGAAAGAAAGAGAGAAAGAAAAAGAAAAAGAGCAACTAGGAGGAAGGGAGAGACGAAGGGGACAGCTAATCTCAAAAGGCTACAGTGTTGTTCGATTCCACTTGAATAGCAATCACAGAAGGGCAAACTGACGTAAGAGGAAACAGGTCACTTGATTACAAGGGTTAAGAAGGGCTATAAAGAGGAGTAAGAAAGAATGTAAAGTAGTAGTGCAAGGGCACTACATTTTTGTTCCATGCTTATGATGGTGGTTACAGAAATCTATGTATGAACAAATTTTATAGAATTAAACACATACCTTAAACACAACACTGAGTACATTTGTACACAGGCCAAGCTGGCTTGGAATTCATGACAATCCTTCTGCCTTGGCTTCTTAGATACTGGGATTATAGACCTGAGCTACCAGCTTTCTTTACTATTTTTGTGCTTTCCTGATAGTCTGTGTATATTTCAAAAAAAAAAAAAAAAAAAAAAGCAGCAGCAATAGTCTGGGCTCACAGCACACACTGGTAACCCCAATACGTGAGCAGGATTATTACGTTTGAAACTGTCCTCAACTACAGAGACAATTCTATAACAAGAACAAAGAATGGGTCAGGTGGAGTGGTGCACAGCTCAAATTCCACCACTTGGAAGGCAGAGAGATCTCTGTGATTTAAGGACCAGCCTGGTCTACATAGTAAGTTCTAGGACAGCCAGAGTGACACAGTGAGAACTTGTCTCAAAAAAAAAAACCAAACAACAACAACAACAACAACAACAACAAAAAACCAGAACAAAATAAAAATAAAAACAGTAAATCATAAACCATGATTTGATTTAGGATAAGAAAGCATGATTTGATATAGGAATAAATAATAAACTGAATTAGCTAACCAGCAAGATATTTACATAATTTTGAAATATCTCACATAAAATATTCAATTACATAGAAGAGAGTAGCTTTACAATGGCAACATGTAGCTGCCACAACCTTACTAAGCAATTAAACGATGGTTTCCAACCATGGTACAAATGAAAACTGTGCAACATGATAGGATGTAATATAGAAGGTCAATATAACTCTGTTACAAAAAGTAACAGGAATGTAATCATGAGAAAACATCAGAAAATTCAAACTAAAGAACAGTTCACAAAATAACTTTTATAAAATCTTCAAAGTGTCAAGGTTATGAACATCAAGAAAGTACTGAAGCTGGGTATGGTAAAGCACGCCTTAAATTCCAATATTTGGGAGGCAAAGGTAGACAGATCTAGGCCAGCCTGGTCTAGAGAGTCAGTTTTAGGACAGCTTGGGCTATGTAGAGAGACCCTGCATCAAAAAATCTAAAACAAATAAACAAAAATAAGAAACCACTGAAGAAACAACTTCAAAGGAAAGGATATTAAACACATAACAACTAATACAAGATGTAAGTCTGAATTGTTTCTTATGCTATAAGAGACACTAGGAGAAGAAGAGAAGTCGGAATAACACCTGTAATGAAGCAGTGCCAATCTCTGTCCTGGATGTTTGCATTGTCATTATGCAGAAGATCTTTTAGGAAATGAGAATGTTTCATATTAAGCGATGGGGCCAGTCAACAACTCCTTCCAAATGACTAAGCAGAATGATGCCAGAAGTGTTAAATCCGCTAGAACTGGAATTACAGGTGGTTGTGAGTCACCATGTAGGCTCTGTGTTCTTTATCAGAGCAGTAGGTGCTTTAACCACCGAGCTCTCTCTCCTATTCCCCTTATCTTTATTTTTTTTTTCTTGGTTGGTTGGCAGTAGCAAGATGATTCATACTCAAAATCTGGTTCTTTTCACACCAAGAGAATTTGAAAGCAAGTTTATTGTTCACACAAAAAAATCTTTGCAACCACAATGCTAGGACTGCACATGACTACCCTGATGTCTGGCTTTTAGCATGGGTACTAGAGATCAAACTCAGGTTCGAGTGCTTTCAAGGCAAGCACTTTTTCAGCAGCACTCTCTCCTTCTAGACCACAAAAATAATTCTCTAGTTTTCAAGGTTTAAAACCCAGAAATTGAAATAACGATTAATGGTATCTACCTCTGAGAGTCTAAATATATGCAGTGTAAACATTCACCATGAAGCTCAGCATTTAGTACATTCTCAATAAATAGCGTCTTTACTAGTTTAAGTTTACAGCAATTTATTTTCTTCTCCTTCACAGCTTTATCCCAATTTTAAAGTAATTCCGTCTCTGCAAGTTTGCATTCAAGCTGGGTATTGGTGGCGCACACCTTTAATCCCAGCACTCAGGAAGCAGAGGCAGGCAGATCTCTGTGAGTTCGAGGCCAGCCTGGTCTACAGAGAGAATTCCAGGACAGCCTCCAAAACAATATAGAGAAACCCTGTCTGGGGGAAAAAAAAAAGGTTTGCATTCAAACCTTGAAGGGTGCAATTATTTCTATAAACAAATTTGCTGTAATTTGAATTTCTAAACATTATAAAAATATCCATTACTTCTTATGATTTATAATACTCAAGCCAGAGGTTGACACCTTGGCTTTTTTTTTTTAACCAAAATCAAGTTCTTAATCACTTCAGCTTAGTAGAGGACCTCTTTGAGCTTCTCAACGTTTTCCTTCTACATCTCCTCAGAAGAGTGAATGTCAAAGAAATTAAATGATTTGCTCAAAGAAAGTTCACTCACAAGAAATGCAAGTAAGGCCAGGCAGTGGTGGCGCACACCTTTAATCCCAGTGCTTGGGTGGCACAGGAAGGTGGATCTCTGAGAGTGTGAGACCAACTTGGTCTACAGAGCAAGTTCCAGGACAGCCAGAGTTACATAGAGAAACCCTATCTGGGAAAGAGAAAGGAGAGAGAGAGAGAGACAGAGAGAGACAGAGAGAGGAGAGACAGAGAGAGAGAGACAGAGAGAGAGAAAGAGAGAGAGAGAGAGAGAGAGAGAGAGAGAGAGAGAGAGAGAGAGAGAGAGAGAGAGAGAGAGAGAGAGAGAGGCAAGTAGTGTTCAAGAATGTGCAAGACACAACTATGCAGGGAAGCAAGTTCTTGCTTTGCTTAAATAAACTCTGTGCCATTCTCCTCCTACCAGCATCATTTGGTACAAGGGATAATGTTAGTGTCTTGGTTTCTCAGTCAATCATAAAATCAAGGTGTCATGAAGACTAAATGAAATTGTGCATCAATGTCACTTATGTCAGTAGATTTTGAATAAACATTCCCCTTCCTCCTTCCCAAGCCTTGGGCTTTCCACTGTAGTATACTATATTCTCAACTACTAACACACAGGTAATTTTCTTTAACCATAAAAGATTTATGAAGGAAAAATTAATTCAGTAATGAATTACTAATATTAGGTTGAGTAGACAAAACTAATTAACCTGTCCATGAATTCAGTTTTCATTTCTGTAACACAAGGTAAGAGAGGCTTCATATCCAGAAACATTATAATGATATTTTTTACTTCTGGGCTGGCTAAAGTGCTTATGTGCTCAATACTATAAAGTTATGAGGCACTTTTTTTTTTTTTGGTTTTACGAGACAAGATTTCTCTGTATTGTTTTGGAGGCTGTCGGTCCAGCCTAGCCTTGAACTCACAGAGATCCGCCTGCCTCTGCCCACCGAGTGCTGGGATTAAAGGCGTGCGCCACCACCGCTCGGCTGAGGCCTTTTTAACGTCTCTTATAAATACTAAATATAATAGAGAAATCATGAGCTAGAAAGGGAAGAGAAAAAGATACAAAGAGAGCAAGCAAGCAGAAATATGGTTAATCATGACTGTGAACCTAATTAGATTGGGAAATGACAGGATAGGTCTGAGAGATCATGACAGCTTTGAGCTAAAAAATAGTTTAAGTTACTGATGTATTCAAAATATGAACAGACCACTGGGAAATGATAGAACTGTTCAAGGGGAAAATAGTTGGAGAAATTATAACACTGGGGGCATTTTCTTGGAGGATTCTCCACCTCTCCCTCTTGTAGCCATATATGTTGAAGCAAGCAACCATCAACTGACCCCTCTTTTAAAACCACAACCAAAGTAAATCTCTCCCCACTTACGTTTCAACCTCCCAGGAAATCTTCAGTGCATCTCCAACATAAAAATGAGTAGTAAATTATACCACTGGATGACCAAAGGTTCTTTTCAAAGTTTTAGACTCCTTATGTCTGCTATCAAGTCTTACAAAAAGCTTTTCACATGTTACCTCACATGCTCACTTAGTTACATACCTCTTAAAAGTCTTTATCAGACCAGTTAGATTCAATCTCTTATAAAGAAATCACACTGCCCTCTGCCCTCACTGAAACCCCCAAGTCTTTTCATTTGCTTAACTATCTTAAATCCTTTATTACACATTCCATCAGTTTGCCTGTTATCACAGTGACTCACCCATCTGCAGATACTGGAGTCCCCTCTGGTTTGGAATATCCTTCCAAATCTGATATGTTCACTTGTGTTTGCCTTGAGGTTACTATCTGGCTATTCTGAGGAGGTTTGGTTTTCAAGTCCTGAGAAATAGTCTTACTATCTGGAAGAGAAGACTGTGCGACTTGCAAGTCCAGTGAAGATTCAGGTCCTAGAAAACCTAAAGATTCTTGATCCTTTGCTACAGGTTTACAGGTCAGTAATTTGTAGGTTGATTCCAATGACCTTGAAGGTATAGTTCGAAGATCAAAGTTACACTCACTATTAATCCTTGTTTTAGAAGCAGGATCCAATGAATGAAACCTTTCATCTAAGGTTCCACTATCCAACTTGGAAGAAGTCTTGGGACAAAGAGTTATATGAACACATGAAAGCGCTTTTCTATTTGAAGGTGGAGCTGATGTAGCTGTACAGTGGTCAGGGGCTGACTGGGAGATCAAATTACTGACCTTGGCTTCAACATTTATCATATTAGAAAAGTGTGACTGAGGTATACGCTGAATCTTTTCTGCTACCCAACCCTGACCTTGAGAAAGAGGGAACTGCTGTTTTCTCATATGGCCATCTACATCTGGGGATTTGCATTGCTGCCGATCAAGAAAGTTGGGAGAAGGAAGATCTGCAACTATATAATCCTGGCGCTTAGGAAAGAAAGAATGGTCTTCCCTGTTCTCATGATCTACCTGAGGGGCTTTGCTCTGCTCAAATAGTTCTCGCTGTTCAAGAAAAATGCAAGAAGCAATGTCTGGACAACAGGGAGAAGAGTATTTTCTCATCTGGTGATGTGTATGTGGGCTGTGGCTTTGTTCAAAGAACTCTCGTTGTTCAAGAAAAATACAAGAAGGAAGATCAGGAGTTATAGTTACATTCTTCTCTTTTACTTCTAGTGTAGAACTTAGTTTGTCTGAGCTAATAATTGTATCCTTACCAGAAAACTGAACTCCCTTGGACCTGCTATAGTTCGGACTGACACTGGGTTCAGAATGACTGGCTTTAAAATCTGATTTTTCTAAGGGTTTTTGTTTTTGATGAGAATGCTCAAAATCAACATGTAATTTTTGCCTTTGTCTACTACCTTCAGCTAAAATAGTCACCGGGGAATGACTTTGTCTTTTAAGTGATGAAGGGAAAGAGGTGTTCTGTTTAAGATCTCTAGGAGAAATCTGCTCTTCAGGGATACGAGATTTAAACACTCCTAAAGATGGTCCAGTACCCTGGCTACCTTCAGTAACACCAACCTTAAAAACAGAGGTATCAGAAATGCACTTAGAGTGTCCATGAGAAGAAGAAGAAAAAGTGATGGAGGTAGTAAACTGCTTCATGGATTCAGGGGGCAGTATTTGTGATGAGGAAGGAAAATCCATTTCTTTAGCTGGCATACAAGTAGGTTCTACTAATCCCAATGGTCTGGGGTCCATGCTTGTGTGAAATGGCATTCCAAAACCCCTGCTGATTTTGATGTCATCGGGTGCAAGTTTTTGAAATGGGGGATGACTCTGTAACTGAAAGGAATTCCAAACTTTCAAACGGGTATTGCTCTGATCTATCGATCTGGAAAGGTTGATGTGCCTGTCTCTCCATGATGATGGGCTCCGTCGTCCTCTCATCAAGTCTGAAGGTTCAACAGATCGGAAAACACAGTGGCGGCTGTTTGGCCGTGGTTGTTCAGCAGCAAGAGTCCTGAAGCATCCTTTCTCATGACTCTCAAAAACAATGTGACTGCATACAGCTTCAGGCACACATCCTATTCCCCGTGGACTACGTAAGCCCTAGAAGATATAAACAGGTTCCCACTTAAAATAATCCAAAGTCATGTGCTGATCAGTTTTATATCCAAGCTAAAAATGACCACGAAGGTCATCTTACTTGTCTATTAGATAGATCAAAGAAACAGCAGGAAAAACAAAACTTTACAGAATAAAACAGCTCATGATAATGAAGAGCACTAAGGAAACGCTTTTAAAATCATTCTACTTGGGGCTAGAGAGATGGTTAAGAGCACTGGCAGCTCTTCCAGAGGACCCCAGCACCACATCAGGCAGGTCCCAACCATCTGTAACCTCAGCTCCAGGGATTCAATGCCTCTGGCCTCTAAGGGCACCTGAATTCATGTATACACATACACATTCTTATACATACTTAAAAATAGTGGGGCATAGTGGCGCATGCCTTTAATTCCAGTACTCAAGAAGCAGAGGCAGGTAGTTCTCTGACAGTGTAAGTTTGATGCCCAGCACAACACACACACAAACAACAACAACAAAAAAAGAGGGGCACATAGATATATCAATAAATAGGACATAAAGATGAGAAATAGGGAAATGAAAAGAATGTCCAACATTAAAAAACAGGAAAACGTAAATTACAACCACAATAAATACTTGGGAGGCAAAGGTAGGCAGATCTCTGTTAAGTTCGAGGCTCGCCTGGCCTACACTATCAGAGCTGCTTCTTAGTGAAACCCTGTCTCAAAATAAAACAAGCAAGCAAACAAAAACACCACAATAAAGTGTCATTGTAGGGGCTGGAGAGATGGCTCAGTGGAAGAGCTCTTACTCTCTTGCAGAGCACCCAGGCTCAGTTCCCAGCACCTGTACCAGTCTATCTCCAGGTGATACAACAGCCTCTAGCTTTCACATGCACCTGCATGTAAACATAAATATGCAAATAAAAACTCTGTGTGTGTGTGTGTGTGTGTGTGTATGTGAAGTTTCACTACAAACCTATCAGAACTGCTAAAACAATGACAATACCAAATGCTGCTGAGGATATGGGGTAAGTGAATCACTTATCCTTAAACAATATGGGTACCACATAACCCAAAATGAATTCTTAGACACTGACACCACAGAAACAAACGCATATTCCCAAACATAGCAACAAGAATGTTAGGCAACTTTTGTTTATAAAGCCCAAGATTGAGAACCCACCAAACTGTTCTTCACAGGTAAATATTTAAACATACTATTGGGCATCCACAGCAACACAAAGGGAAAGCTATTGTAATACCCCCATGAGTTTCTAAAGAATTAGTCTAATTCAAATATCTCAGCTATTCTGAATGAAAAAAGCCAATACAAAAATGACTTCATTTTAATGACAATCTTGACATCATGAAATACAGAAATGGGGACTAGAACGGTGGTTGACAAGTGTTAAAGAAGAGGTGGGAGGAGAGACATGGACGTAGCTATGACAGGGTAGCCTTAGATCAGTTTGTGAAAGTCAATATCCTGACTGCATTAAGCCAATGTCATGACTGGGACTGATCACTAAAACTTTGCAAGACATTGGCTGGGCACAGTGGTACATGCCTCTAATCCCAACACTTAAGAGGCAAAGGCAGGCAGGCAGGCAGATCTCAGTGAGTTTGAGGCCAGTCTGATCTATAGTGTAAGTTTCAGGACAACTAGACTCTGTCTCAAACCAAAAATATAAAAAAACGCTTTGCAAGACATGATCACTGAAGAAACTAGAAGCAGGACACACCCTCTCTTCAACCATTTCTTATAAGTGCACGTGACACTACAATTTAAAACAGTATTTGGCTTAAAAAAAAACACCTCAAGTTTGAGTTGCCATTTTTTAATCTGATACATCACTGGGAAACAAATGCCCTAACTTGAAAAGTACAAATTTCCTCCAGTTTTAAAACTGGGAGTGATTACAGATTGATATTTACATAAAAATGTGTTTCTTTCTCTATGGCCTACTTCTTCCTGTGGCTTCTTTCCAAGAACTACTCCATGGCCTACCTCTTCCTGTGGCATCGCTCAAGTCTTCAAAATAAAGTTCATAATCATCTTCCCACTTTTAAAATTCTTTAGATTTTGGGATGGCAAGATGACTCAGGAGGTAAAGACACTTGCTGTCAAGCCTGACTCAGTTCAATCCTCAGAAGCCACATGGTGGGAGGAAAGAATAGGCAAACTCTTGCAATTGGTCCTCTAACCTTGCATGCTATGGTACCCTTCCCCCAAAATGAATATATGCAAATTTTTTCTAAATTCTTATTTAGTACCTGTCAAACATTATTTTTAAACTACTCTTCCTAAAATCTTACAATAAGCCAACAAACTGATAGATATGTAAGAGGGTCTCTTTTAAAAAGACATGGTATCAAACTAAGTATCCAATAGGGATGATGGAGAAAAAAAGTGTGGTATATGTATAAAATGGAACTTTAGCACTCATAAAGAATGGATACGTCTGCTGATTCTTTTCATTTTTTTATGAATGTGAATGTTTTGCCTGCATATATGTACCACATGTATGCCTGGTAACTTGAGGCTAGAACAGACGCCCTGGAGCTGAACTTATGGACAGTTTGTGAACTACATAGTGTGAGTGCTGGGAACTGGACCCTGATCCTCTTCAAAGACAACAACAAATGCTCTTAACATTTCTCCAGTCCTGTATCATGCTCGTTCTATGTAAAATTCAAAAGCATACTGAAGAGCATAGTCAATACATGTCAGGATAAGAAATAAAGACAAAACTAGGGAAAGAGATCCAAAACATTTCAATGGCATTTATCTGGGGTAGGAGGAGTGCTGGTTTGGTTTGGGTTTTGAGATACAATCTTCTTAAATAACCTTGAACTCGGGGCTGGAAAGGTGACTGACTCAAAGGTCCTGAGTTCAATTCCCAGCAACCATATGGTGGCTCACAAACATCTGAAAAGAGATGTGGTGTACTCTTCTGCTTCAGGCATACAAGCAAGCAGAACACTGTATATAAATAAATAACCCTGAACTTACTGTCTCTGGCCTTAGCCTCCCTAATACTGGGATTAGAGTGCACATGCCCAGCTCAATAGCATCTACTAATGTTCTGTTCAATGGCATCTATTAATCGACTGCAAACACAGAAATTAACTTCTCTTTAGATAAGTGTTTCTATTCAAGAAACAGTTCACTAAAGAAAGAAAATAAACTTATAAAGAAAGCTGTTTTTAGATAAAACTACTTTAACTCTATTCTTAAAATATATATTTCTGAAACTGAGTTTCATCTGAATTGCAAGATATAAGGGAGTCATTTAAACTCTCAACTGTGAAAATACACTGGCAAGCCGGGCAGTGGAGGCACACTCCTTTAATCCCAGCACTTGGGAGACAGAGGCAGTCAGATCTCTGAGTTCGAGGCCAGCCTGGTCTACAGATGACTTCCAGGCTACCCACGGATAAATAGAGAAACCCTGTGTTGAATAATCAAAACAAACAAAAAAACGCAAAACTATTCAATTCTTGTTTAACTAGTATGATAATTTGGAATTAATCAAAACTTGAATCCTAAATTTTAGGGAGTTAAGACTCTAATAAAACTTTGCCCCAAGATTATCAGCAACTCCTCTGGAGTCATCAATGCCAAGAAGGAGTCCTAATTTCTACTGCTCTTTCTTTCACAGTTTCAGTTTTCATTTCTAGGTTTCTTTCATACCTCAGACACGTGAGTTGCTCTTCTATGACCAAACAACTTTGCCTTTATCTCTTCTACTTTCCTCCTGTCGTCTTCATTTAATTCTGAAATGGAGTATCCATAGTCATGTCCTAAATTAAACTTTAGATTCCAGGCTGGAGAGAAATCACAAATAGTTGATTTTTTAAAATTGTAAAACTGGTAATTTCTCAATATCTACAAGAACAACATCTGCACCTTACTGCCCAACACAAAGCTGAGCGCTTAAGAGACCATTTCACTAAAAAGTCTACCCACCGTCCAAAACAAGGTATTTCTATGTAATTCAAGGTAAGCCTGAACTCATGATCTCTATGTCTCAGCCTCCTAGTACAGAGATTACAGGTGTGTGCCATCATATATGAACTAAAGTCAGAGTTTTTAAAGCATCCTCCATAGGTGTACCTCCAAAGAAGCCACTCTAAATATGGAATTTAAATCATTAGTCTTACTTTTTCTTCTAATCAGAGTCTCTATCTCCCCTTTAGTACCTGACAGTTACTAATGCTTTTATGATACCTAATGTCTTAAATTAATAAGCAAAACTAGAGATTTTGACAGAAACAAAATGTACAAAATGTACAGGACAGTCAGTTAACCTCAAGATTCCGAGTCAGTCCTGAACCACTGACAGGTCACCACCCAAAACATTTCCTCATGTCTTAAAGATTGTTACATTTCCTTTACAAGAATCTATTAGAGATTAATGAGGCTAATAAATGTCCTCTTTTAGACTTCTAGCCAAGTTTTAGTACTAAAGATCTTGACAAGTGTTTTTCCAAAATTTTCATTAGAAAGAGAAAGCATACATAGTTCTAAAACACAAAATAATTTAACAGAAGAGCAAATTGGAGGCAATTGTGTCCCCAAAACAAGGATATTATGACAGAATTAAAGAAGCCCAAACTACTTTCTTACTGTCCATCTGACACAAGAACCTCCTTCTCCATAAAACTATAATCTCAGACAAGCACTACTGATCATATAATTTATTTATATCATCGCTTTTGTCTTCTAGATTTTGGATAGAAAATATAATCATTCTACAGTTCTACAAGAAATTTATAACTTCAGATGTCTCATTTTAGACCACTAAGCTGTAATGCTCACAAGCCTGAATGTGCCTATAGTCAGTCCTTACCTTGGGCTCGGACCCGACACTCTTCTTCCTCTGCATTTTTAAGTATCTGTTTGGCTTGATTCAGTGAGGATTCACACTGCAGAAGGTACTTCACATGTGCAGCCAGTGAATCTACACTACCACAGCCGTCTTCACTCTCTGAGAACCCCTCCTCTTCTCGGCTATCTGTTAAGCTTGTCATGGGTGACGTATACGGAAAGAAGTTTAGAAAAACGTCAGAAACAGACTCCAAAGACTCTGGTAAATTACTGTTCCATGAGCAGCAACCATCACTTACATCACTACTCGAGTCACTCTTTATGAATGTCATCATGGGGATAATAATTTTATTCCTAATGCCTGTTCTGCAACTTTCAGGTTCAGACCTCATTACGGACCTGGAAGCTTCATACTGCCTGAAAGTTTCATCAAATGCCACTCTCGCTGTGCGTTCTGCTTCCTGTAGAGGACTTCTAATTGTAGTTGAACTAATAAACTCCCAATTTTCAACACCACTTTGGCACTTGAGGTTTGTCTGTGTGCCGATATCCTTCTGTATACACTCAACGTGAGGGACCTCCTCTGTAAATGGCTCCCTCTGGGTACAAACATCAGTTACAGACGGTTCTTTGAAGCAAACCACCTTCTTGGATTGTATAAATGAAACATCATTAACATCTCTGAAAGGGACTAAGGGAGCAGGGAAATTGCATCGTTTCAGTGCTATGTTTTCTGCCTCCATTAAAAGAGTTCGAATTTCTTTAAGAGTTTTGGAACCATGATCTATATCCCGAATTTCCTCACAACCAACATCGCCAAAACCTGAAGATTCTGGCTTACATATAACTCCATCATCAATCTGCGAATTTAAAGGCATATTGTTTGTAATGAGAGAACAAGACTCAGGAGAATTCAAATTATCTATCAGCTTTTGGACATGTTCTGAGACAAGCTGGTGATTTTCACTGTATGAAACTGTAGATAAACCAGAAATCTGTTCAGCTTGACCAAGACAACTTGAAACCTTCAGAGCATCTTCAGTTAGATGTCTGTCTGGCAGTTCCTGTGGGTATCCACAGGATGTATCTAATTTCTCTCTCTGTGTGTAAGAACCAGACAGAGGTACTGGTACACCTGTGTTTACAGCAGTTGGCTCAGAGACAGTTGAAAGCTTCGGAATATCTTCACTTTGATCTTTATCAGGTAACTGTTTTTGAACAAAAACAACAGGTTTTACTTTTTGAGAATAGGAATCATGAAAGGCTGTTGGTAATGTAGTCTTCTGATCATCTGGTTCAATCACAGATGAAACTGCAGGCTTCTCTCTATGTAGGTAGGACCTATGAGTAACTGTTGGCAACTCAGGCTTCTGGTCATCCAGTAGATCTGCAGTGGAAATCTTGTGTTTCTCCTTATGTGAGTGGGAACCAGATGAGACTGCAGGTCTCCTATTCTGGTCAGATAGTCCAGGAACAGTTGAAGCCTTCAGAGAATTTTCAGTTAGAACATGATCTGGTGAGGCCTTTGGGTAAACATCACTGAACTTTTCTCTATGGAAGTAGGAACTAGAAGGCCCTGTTTGAGTCCCAGGTGTCTGTGCTGCAAGTGCAGAACTAGTGGGCACTTTCAGAGACTCTTCTGTGAGATGGCTGCCTGGAAATTCCTGTGGAGTGTAGTAAGTTAAGGGTTCTGTAGTTTTCTCAACCTTCTGAACAAATGGTCCAGGATGAACAAAATCACCTAATGCATCCTCACCAATATTTGGTAGTTCCTGTTGATAAAAACCACTGGGCTTCTCTCTACTTGAGTAGGAAACTACTTGTGCCTCAGTCTTCTGATCAGTAGAGCCAGGTCCTACTGCTTTCAAAGGTATTTCAGTAAGATCTGGTAACTCCCGCTGGTAAGTGATGAGGGGCGTCTCATCCTTTGAGTAAGGGACAGGAGGGACTACTACTCCAGCAACACTTAAAATTTGCAAAGCTTCTTCAGTAAGATCTGGCAACTCCGGCTGGTAAGAACCACTAGGCCTCTCTCTGTAATATAGAGTAGAGGGCACTACTGGTATTTCAGTTTTCTGTTTAGTTGGTCCAGCACCACCTAAAACTTCCAAAGCTTTCTCACTACGATCTGGAAACTCTTGTTGGTAAGAAACAGTGGGCCTCTCTATATACGAGTGGGAAGTAGAAGGCACTGTTGGTATCCCAGTCTTCTGGTCAGTTGGTCCAGGAACAACTGAAACTTGCCCAGTGTTTTCAGTTAGAGGCCTATCTGGCAACTCTAGATTTGAGTATGAAGAAGAGGTGATGAAGGGTAGCCCAATCTTCTGGTCAGCTGGTCCAGAAACAACTGAAGCTTTGTGACCTTTTTTAGTTTGCTGACTATCTGACAGGGCCTGCTGGTAGAAAACAATGGGCTTTTCTCCAAAATAGGAAGTAGAATACACTGGTGGCTCCCCAGTCTTAGGGTCAACTGGTCCAGGAGAAGTTAAAACATCCAAAGCTTCTTTAGGAAGATTATCATCTGGCAAGGCCTGTTGGTAGAAAATAATGGACTTCTCTCCCACTGGATGGGAACCTGAAGGTCCTGCTGGTGTACCAGTCTTCTGCTCAGTTGGTACAGGAACAGCTGCCACTCTGAAAGTCTCTGCTGTTAGAGGACTAGTTGGCAACGCATTTTGGTAGAAAATAATGGACTTCTCTCTAACTGGGTAGGAACCTGATGGTTCTGCTGGTGTGCTAGTCTTCTGGTCAGTTAATCCAGAAATCCCTGGAGATTTGAAATGCTCTGTGGATAGAGGATTACCTGACAAGCCAGGTTTGTAAAAAATAATGGACTCTTCTCCAGGGAGGTAGGAACTAGGAGATACTGTAGGTGCCCTAGTATTCTGGTCAGGTGGTCTAGGAACAGCTGAAACTTTCACAAACTCTCCAGGCAAATGACCACCTGGCAGGGTCTGTTGGTAGAAAATCTGAGGCTTCTCTCTTTGTAAAGAGGATGTAAAGGTTACAACTGGCATAGCAATGTTTTGGTCAGCTGGCCTAGTAGTAGCTGAAGCTAGCAGAGCCTCTTCAGATAGACGACCTGGCAGAACCTGTTGGTAGAACATACCAGGCCTCTCTTTTTGTGAATAGGAAATAGAGGACACTGAAACTGTTGTCCCTGTCTTCTGGTCTACTGATCCAGTTGTGCCTGAGACTTGGGCCTCTTCAGTTAAGTGGCTGTCTGGAAACTTCTGCTGATGAGAAATGTTGGGTCTCTCTTTATGTGAGTAGGAAGCAGAGGTTATAGTTGATACATCAGATGGTTTAGAAACAGATGAAGCTTTGAAAGTATCTTCAGGCAGGTGACTACCTGGAAGGGTTGGCTGGTAGAGGAAAATAGGCTTTGTATGTAATGGAGAAGTAGGGGGTACTGTTGGCAGGTCAGTCTTCTGGTCAGTGGGGCCTGGGATCAATGTTTTTGTAGATTTTTTTGTTGAATGACTATCTGGCAACTCCTGCTGATAGAAAACACTGGGCATCTCACCATATGGATGAGAAGTTCCAGACTTCTGGTCAATGGGTCTAGATACAGGTGAAGCTTTCTGAGTCCCTACAAGTACATGTCTGTCTGGCAACTCTTGATGGTAAGGAACAGTAGGTTTCTTTTTGTTCGGGTAGGAACTTGAAGACACTGTTGGAGTGTCAGCCTTCTCATCAGCAGATCCAGAATCAATGGAAACCATCACATCTTCAGGCAGGTTCTTTGCTCTGTGAGAAGAGGAAACAAGTAATTCTGATGGTAAAGGAGTTATCTGGTCCCCTCGGTCAGGAATAACAGAAACAGGCAATGCTTCTTCAGTTAGATGACTGTCTGATAATGTCTGCTGGTAGAAAGCTTTAGCTGTCTCTTTATGTGGCTGGGAAGCAGAGGTTACTGTTGGGGACCGGGTCTTCTCAGCTGATCCAGAAACAGCTGAAACATCCAGAGGCTCTTTGCCTGGATGACTGTCTAACAGAGGATGCTGATAGAAAATACCAGGTTTTATTCCCTTTGGATGAGAACTAGAGTGTACTGTTGACATCTCCAACTTCGGGCCAGCTGGCCTAGGAGCAGGAGGCACTTTCCGAGTCTCTTCAGTAAAATGCCTATCAGGTAACTCTTCTTGGGGAAAATTGCCAGGCTTTACATCATGTGAGTAGGTGGAAGGGACTACTGCTGCTCCAATCTTCTGGTCAACAGATCCAGGAGCAACAGAAAATTTCCAAGCCTGATGATTCAAATAACTTTCTGGGACAGCCTGGTGATAAAAAGTATGAGACTTCTCTCCATGGGAATGAGAAGCAGAGGGCAGTGCAGTTATCCCAGTGCTCTGGGCAACTGGACCAGGAATTGCTGAACCTCGCACAGTCTCTTCATTTAAATGACTCTTTGGCAACTCTTGTTGATAGAAAACAGTAGGTCCTTCATATGTGTAGGAAATAGGGGGCGAGGCTGGAACATCAAACTTCTGGTCAGTAGTCCTAGGAGCAGCTGAAGCTTTCATAATGTCTTCAGGCAAATGACCACCTGTCGAGGCATGTTGGTAGATAACACCAGGTTTATTACTTTGTGAGTAAGAAGTAGAAGTTACTGTTGGGAAACTACTCTTCTGGTTAGTCAGAGTAGGAGCAGCTGGTGCCTTTGGAATCTCTTCAAGTAAATGACCACCTGTTAGGACTTGTTGATAAAAAATACCAGGCTTCTCTCTTTGTGAAAACGAAGTAGGGGTCATTGTTGATAAACCATTCTTCTGGTCAGCCAGTCCAGGAAATGCTGAAACTGTCAGTTCCTGACCAATTCGATAACCATCTTGATGTAAAATATTGGGTTTTTCTCTTTGTGAATAGGAAGTAGGGATTACAGGTGATGTACCAGATGAAGCTTTGGGAGCCTCTTCAGAAAGATGGCCTTCAGGTACAACCTGTTGACAGAAAACACCAGACTCTTCAGGCTTTTTTCTACATGAGAGAGAAACAGAGGATACTATTGGTATTCCTTGTGGAATACCAGTCTTGTGGTCAACCAGTCCAGAAAAAAAAATGAACCTTTCAGAACCTCAGTTGGATAGTTATCTGGAAATTCTTGCTTGTACAAAACATTGGGTTTCTCTCTATATGAGTGTAAGAAGAAGGTACTGCTACTGCCCCAGTCTTCAGGTTGGTAGGTATACTAACAACAGAAACTGTTAAACAACCATGTGGGTAGGAAATAGTGATAATACTTTCTGGTCAGCTAATTTAGGAATATTTGAAACATTCAGGCTCTCTTCAGTGGGATGGCTATCTGTCAATACCTTCTGGTTTACAGTGTAAATGTGGTGACCAACAGTGTTTTGAGAACTTACAGCAAAATGAGTTAAGTCTTCAAAGGGTAACGATGAATGTGTTGCAATGTCTGAATCTCCAAGAGTGTTAGTGATATCTGGTTTCAACTTGGATTGAGAAATTGCAACTTTGCCTCCTTTAGAAGTGTCTCCTTTAAAAAGAAACAAAAACAAAAATGAAAAAAAAATACAATCATTTGTTAATGTTAAATAGGTACATATTTTCAATTCTTTTTTTTTCCTCTTTTGCCAATGAGATGATTCAGAAGGTAAAGCAATTGCTGAGCAAGCCTGACAACCTGGACTCAATCCCTGAAATTCATGTAAAGATGGAAGGACAGAAATAACTCACAAAGTTTTCCTCTGAGCTCTACTCACATGCCAGAGCCCACCTACACACACACACACACACACACACACACACACACACACACACACACACACACACACACACACACACACACACACAGGCTAAAAAATTTTGAAACGTTAAATATTCCTTTCTTTGTGCACAAATATAAATAAGGGAAGGAAACTTTATCACCTCAGGCCTTTAAATATTTAGAAATTAATTCTATGGAAATAATCAACAAATGAGATATTAACTATAAAGTAAATTAAAGTAAAAAGAATTAAAAACAGAATTAATAGCTTAAAAAAGGATATGCACTTGCAAAATATAATAAGGGTCTTAAAATTGGGAGTTTAAAAAAACTTTCAATTGAATGCAAAAATGCAAGGTCTGAGATTTGATTTCTTCCTATTTTCAATCTAAGAGCCTTCTATTATACCATGAGTGGTGGCAGGAGAAATAAGACCCTCAGTTACAAAATCAGGGAAAAAATTATTATCCATATTCCAAGAGACCATCATCTTAGCTTCAAGGTTTTGGTAGCTGACCCAGGTTCTATTCCCAATACCCACACAGCAGCTCACAACCATCTGTAACTATAGTACCAGAGGATCTCATGCCATCTTCTGACCTCCGTGGGCACCAGGAACGCACATGGTGCAACATACATGCAATCAAAACACCTATACAAATAAGATAAATAAATCTAAAAATTAAAAAACTAAGTTAAAAAGAGGTTTCTCTGACCCTCAAGTCCAGTGGAGGCAATGAACTGCAGAGCATATGGACACTATGCAGGTACTGGATCCAAATTATGTTCTCCAATATTTATTTTTTGAATAAATGAAACTATATAAGTCTAAGAAGGTTGAACTGCGTGGCACAGGGAGTTATTGACAATTTTGTTAAGAACCACTCTGCATAAAAATAAATTCAAGGTGGGAAGAAAAAGAATGTGGACATCAGAGCAGCACAAACTAACAAAACTTTCTGTAATGACAGACATGTACTATTTCAGCTTAAAACAGTAATTTTAAATGAAGGTAGGCCTGAATAGCTATTTAAATAAATCACAACACAAATGTCAAGAGTCTGACAGCTTGTTCAATCATCCAGTAATTTACTTATAAAATATGTGTACCATGTGTTCAGACATTGATCCAAATACAGAATACAGAGCAAGAGACAGACAATCCTATTTCACATACTATACATGCTAGCAGGAGAAGTCACAATAAATAAACTAGTTAAAAAAAATGTTTTCTCAAATGTTGGCAAAAAGGTTATTAAATATAAGAAGTATTAGCTATACTTTACAGACAAGGAAAGTTTCCTCTCCTCAAAAGAGCTTTAAATGGTGCTTCTAAATGTAGGGATCTTGCTAACATGCACTCTTGATTCCGCAGGTCTCAAGGTAAAACCTGAAATTCTACATTTCTAAAGTTTCACAGTGACCCAATGCTAACAGTCTACAGCTAGAGAACTTTAACCTTTCAATTCTATCTCTGACTGATGGACCCTTTCTACTGCAACCAAATCCCCTTCTCAAAGGCCATTGCTGAGCTTCAAAATATTGAGTTATAAAATAAAGACATACAAGTATCAAGTGTTAACAATTCAAGAAAACTAAAAGCAAGGGAAATTTGAAATGCAGTGTAACCTGATGAGAAAATGTAGATATTTTTCTCTACATTTTTTGTGCATATTTTTGTGAGAAAACCTCAAGAAGTTAGTAAGTCAAAATAGATCAACAAAAAAAATCTTACTTCTCCCAAATATTTCCCAATTTTTACTTCTTTCTGACCATTACAAAGTATTAACAACACCATGAAGGAAGCAAATGAGATGAATGGCCAAGGACTGAAGACATAACCCAGACCTCAAAAGATGTAGAGGCTTACATTAGACAATGAGACCTGGGGAGAAAGGAAAAGATTAGTAAAGGAAACTTGAAGGAGGAGTACAGGGTAAACAGCTAAAAGGACGAGAGATTCACGGTGTAAAGAAGAAATTCCCCCAGCTCCGTGCATATACTTCAAAATGTCAGAAGCATCCATGGTCATAAGCCTTGTAATTTATTTGGATGTGTTTGTACAGGTAAAGAATTCATGATGACAGGTGGCATAATTGAAGGGTGCTTTTTAACCCTCTCAACCCTGGGAAAAATAAATATACCAAATATTATACTTAATTCCTGAATTCAAAAGATCTTGTTCAGAAGTGGGTTGATTAAAGTTTTGATATAGAAAAGAAAGGAAACTGCCAGAAGAAGGCCATTAATGGACCATAATTGCCTTCCAATGCGAAAAGTGCTCCTAATAGAAACTAACTAGAAAGTTGGTCGCAAGAACTCTTCCTAGAAAGCAAATGCTTATTTACATAGAGGTCTCCTAACATAAAGCAAGTCCTCATTGCTCACTAACAACATGAGATGCCATCCCAGACTTCCATTCTACAGATAACTAAAGGCTACTTTCTCATCATTCCAACTCAGTTGTTAGGAGTATTAACACTAACATACCAAAATAGATCAATGCATTTCTGAGCATTGGAGAGATGGCTCTGCAGTTGCAAGAGCGCTTGCTGTTGTTGCAGAGGTCTGAGTCTGGGTTCAATTCCCAGCAGCCAAATGGCAGCTCAAAACTATCTATAACTTCAGTTCCAAGGAATCTAACCAGTTCCAGGACATCTAATACCCTCTTAGCCTGTAAGGGTACCAGGATTGCACAGGGTGCACATACAAACAGGCATACAAAACACTCATAAATAAAAATAAATAAAATATAGAATAATGGATTTCAGAATAAAAAAATGGACTAGAAACAGGAGTTTTAAAGATAAAGAACTGTAGGTGTTATGAATGGTTCACATATGACTTTGGGGAATCAAATCTTAGTAGACTGGCCCTGATAAGAATGTTTCTTTCTTCTTGGAATCAGAGAGAGTAAATGAGATCATGGAAATGATGATATTAAAGATAGATGCCATAACAAACACCAAACCAAGTAACTGAAAGCATTGATACAGATTCTGCACCCCTACCCAGACAAGTGACATAGCTGGCAGATGATGGAAAAGCAGTCCTCTTTACTTTTTCCTTTTTTTTTTGGATTCAAGGTTTCTCTCTGTAGCTTTGGAGCCTGTCCTGAAACACAATCTGTAACCAGGCTGGCCTCGAACTCATAGAGATCCACATGCCTCTGCCTCCCAAGTGCTGGGATTAAAGGTGTGTGCCATCACCAATGGGCTCCCTCCATTTTAAAATTATCCCCTCCATCTTTAAAATTATAATTATATTTCTCCCTTCTCATTCCTCCCATAAATCCCTCCTCACTCTCCTTCAAACTCATGACCTCTTTTTCACTAGTTGTTACTGAGTGTGTGTGTGTGTGTGTGTGTGTGTGTGTGTGTGTGTGTGTGAGATCCTAAATATAACCTGCTCAGCTCATATAATGTCATTGTATGTGTGTTTTCAGAGCTGACGATATGGCACTGGACAACCAACTGGTGTGTGCCTACCTGGGGAACTCCTCTGCTGCTCCCAGCTTTCCTCAGGTACCTGTAGTTCTTTGTTAGGACTGAGGCCTCATGGGCTTTTCCCCACCCAGTTTAGTATGTCCATTGGTGACATTCCTGTTCAGCTCATGTTTGGATTGTCATATTGGTGAGACTCCCCTTTTTTTCTCCTCTCCCTCTTCCCTATCATAGGCCTTTACAGAGATTGTTTAAGTCATATTGACTAAATCAGACAAAGCAGCTCAATTCATTTCTTATTGCTACTGTTCTTTCATTCGTTTTTAAACTTGTCTTACCTGACAATTTATTTTTTAGATCAGTTTTGTCCTAACCTCTTTTCTTTCTCTCCCTTCAAAGGCTCTCTCATAATGCACAGGTGGTTTAGAGCTGCGAGTCTCCTTGACTAAGCCTCCTAAGCGCTGGGAGGTTGCCTGATTGTATATTTTTTTCTTTCTCTTCCCACTCTACCTTCCATTAGAGCTGCCTTATTCTCCTCCTTGGTTCCATACTGTTCCACCTTCCTACTTTCTTGTTGGTTGTTTTTTACTCTTTTGGCTTTTTTTCCTTTGGGGGTCCTGTACCCAGCTCCCAAATAAACACATGGAGGTTTATTGTTACTTATAAATGGTGAGCCTTAGTTTAGCTTGTTTCTAGTCAGTTTTCTTAAATTAATCCATCTACCTTCTGCCTCTGGGCTTTTTCCTTTTTTTTACTTCTGTGTATCTTACTTTCACTTTTATTCCATGGCTGGTTGGCCCCTTGCATCTTCTCCTTGATCTCTCCTGCTTCCCCAGATTTCTCCTCCTCTTTTATTCTCTCTATATGCCAGCCTCACCTATCGCTTCTCCTGCCTTGCTATTGGCCATTCAGCTCTTTATTAGATCAATCAGGTATTTCAGACAGGCAAAGTAACACAGTTTCACAGTTAAATAAATGCAACATAAAGGAATGCAACACATCTTTGCATCATTACACAGTCCACAGCATAAACAAATGTAACACATCTTATAATAATATTCTACCACTACTTACTTTTCTATTTTTCTTTATTCTAATTCTGGTCTTACTTGGCTTATTTTTTTTCTATTCCTAATGTTAGTAACTAATATCTTAGTGTGCACTATACTGTCCGTGTTTCTTTATTCCCCAAAACTTGTTGTAGATGAAAATTTTATGGTTTTCTTTGGCTATTCCTATATCTTCATAACAGTGTTACCCATCATTTGTGGGTACTTCTGCAGTTAGTAGTAATCTACACTTATAGGTGCTGAAGATCGTGGCCAG